CCCCATGGATCCCATACATTCCCTATGGATCCCATGCATTCCCTATGGATCCCATACATTCCCCCATGGATCCCATACATTCCCTATGGATCCCACGCATTCCCTATGGATCCCATACATTCCACCATGGATCCCATGCATTCCCTATGGATCCTGTATGGCCCTGGGCAGTCCCCTATGGATCCCATACATCCCCTATGGATCCCACACGTTCCCTATGGATCCCACGCATTCCCTATGGATCCCATACAGTCCCTATGGATCCTGTATGGCCCTGGGCAGTCCCCTATGGATCCCATACATTCCCTATGGATCCCATACATTCCCCATGGATCCCACACGTTCCCCATGAATCCCATACGTTCCCTATGGATCCCATGCATTCCCTATGGATCCCATACATTCCCTATGGATCCTGTATGGTCCTGGGCAGTCCCCCATGGATCCCATGCATTCCCTATGGATCCCACACATTCCCTATGGATCCCATACATTCCACCATGGATCCCATGCATTCCCTATGGATCCCTCACGTTCCCCTATGGATCCCATACATTCCCTATGGATCCCATACAGTCCCTATGGATCCTGTATGGCCCTGGGCAGTCCCCTATGGATCCCACACATTCCCCATGGATCCCACACATTCCACCATGGATCCCATGCATTCCTTATGGATCCCATACAGTCCCTATGGATCCTGTATGGCCCTGGGCAGTCCCCTATGGATCCCATACATTCCCTATGGATCCCACACATTCCACCATGGATCCCATACAATCCACCATGGATCCCATACATTCCCTATGGATCCCACGCATTCCCTATGGATCCCATACGTTCCCTATGGATCCTGCATGGCCCTGGGCAGTCCCCCATGGATCCCATACATTCCCTATTGATCCCATACGTTCCCCATGGATCCCACACATTCCCTATGGATCCCATGCATTCCCTATGGATCCCATACGTTCCCTATGGATCCCACACATTCCCTATGGATCCCACGCATTCCCTATGGATCCCATACATTCCCTATGGATCCCATACATTCCCCATGGATCCCACACATTCCCTATGGATCCCATACATCCCCTATGGATCCCACGCATTCCCTATGGATCCCACACATTCCCCATGGATCCCACACATTCCCTATGGATCCCATACATTCCCCATGGATCCCACACATTCCCTATGGATCCCACACGTTCCCTATGGATCCCATACATTCCCCCATGGATCCCATACATCCCCCATGGATCCCATACATTCCCTATGGATCCCACACATTCCCTATGGATCCCATGCATTCCCTATGGATCCCATACATTCCCTATGGATCCCATGCATTCCCTATGGATCCCATACGTTCCCTATGGATCCCACACGTTCCCTATGGATCCCACACGTTCCCCCACGGCTCCCAGCCCATGTTAGTGTGTTAGTGCCCCCCCACACGCGCTTTAACCAAATCCGCCTTTATTAGCCCCAAAGCTCGTTAAAAACGCGCCCGGCCCCTCCCCCCTACAAAATCTGTACATCGGCCCCTCCCCCACCGGGCGGGGGGCGGGGCGGGG